ATTTTTAGCTTTTGCCCTTTCTTTCTTTCTTTTCTTTCTTTCTTTCTTTCTTTCTTTCTTTCTTCTTTCATTTTTAGCATTTGCCCTTTCATTTTTTTGTCTTTTTTTTCTTTCTTTCTTTCTTTTTCTTTCATTTTTACCTTTTGCCCTTTCATTTATTTTGTCCTTTCTTTCATTTTTTTTCCTTTCTTTCTTTCTTTCTTTCATTTTTACCTTTTCCCCTTTTGTTTTTTTCTCCTTTTTCTTTTTTCGTGTACACTATTAGTGTAATTTGCTTGCACTGTGGTTTTGAATAAATAAACTGGGTTTGTTTTGTTTCTCATGTGCTTTTTTCTTTATTTCAGATGAGTCTCTGGTTCTCCGTCTTGGTGGGGATCTGCTGTCTGAGGCTCAGTTCAGCGTACTCTAATGGATCCGTAGCTGCTGTCTGTGACTCCATGCTGCCGGGACATAATGGGATCACTCCTCAGACCACCAATCCACCATACAGAGTCAGGGTCAGCCGCAGCACTTACAGACCAGGCGACCGCATCACAGGTCAGACAAGCCTTCTTCTGTGGGCGAGACCTCAACTGACAAACTGAAAGCTCAGTTATTGCATCCTCCTTAATGCAGGTTTAGACTTTCAGACTAAAGAGCAGGTCTGTTCAGATTCTTTATTCAGTGCTATCTGAAAGGTCAAACTTTATCCCAGATTAGCATTAATATGGACACATTTCAGTTCCTGAACTGGAAAATAGAAACAGTGAATAAAGAAAAAAAGAAAAGTGACAAGTGTCCAAATGTCATAAATGCCTCCTTCAACAGATCTCATAGAATCCAAAAGTTACAAAGATGAGGAAAAGAAAGCATCAAGAACAAATAAACAAACAAATAAACAGAGAATGGACAAACTAATAAAAAAAGAAAGAAAAAAAAGAAAAGATGATATAAAGGATGAAAGAAAGGGCAAAGAAAGAAAGAAAAATAGAAAAAAGGCCAAAAAAGAAAAAAACAAAATGAAGAAATGATGAATTTGACTAAAGAAAGAGAAAAGGGGAAAAAAGAAAGAACAAAGAAAGAAAGAAAGAGGAGAAAAGTATACAGTTCCTAAGTTTCTATAATCAATGAGTCTTAGAATTCAAATTTTAGAAAGGACGAAAGACAGAAAGAAATAGAAAAAAGAGAAAAAACGACAAAAAAGAAAGAAATAGAAAAGAGAAGAAAGAAAGAAAGAAAGAAAGAACAAAGAAGAAACAAAAGAATGAAGAAAGGACAAAAGAAAAACATAGAGAAAGAGAAAAGAGAAGAAAGAAAGAAAAAAGGACAAAAGATAGACGGAAAGAAAAACAGAAAAAAGAAAAAAAAGGACAAATAGAAGAAGAAAGAGAAAGAGAAAAGAGAAGAAAGAAAGAAAGAGAAAGAAAGAGAAGTGTATAAAGGTCATCAGGGCCTCCTCCGTGTATATTTGTAACCAATGAGTCAGCAGAACTCACGTTATAAAATAGGAAAGAAAGAATAAAAACTAAAAGGTAAAATATAGAAAGAAACCTAAAAAAATAAACTCTCATGAAATGAGTTGAGTGAGAAACAGATGAAAAGCAGTGTGGTAAGAAGTTCGGAAAGATTCAGTGAGTTTTTAGTCAGAAATGGAAACATTTAATGTTAAATTTTGTCAAAGTGATAAAAAAAATCATCTAAACATTTATTAAAAACATTCCGCTGTGGGTCCACAGACTCCTGAAGTCAGTGTATCTGTGTATGAGGTCAGACGTGACCAGGAGTGACCCTGCAGGGTTACAGGGGTTAATGTGAATGTGACCGTCTCTCTCAGTGACCCTGGAGGCCGCGCAGAACGGGACGAACTTCCAGGGCTTCATGCTGCAGGCTCGCCGGACAGCGGACGGGACGGCCGTGGGCTCTTTCATGTCCACAAACACCAGCCAGTTCAGACTCCAAAGCTGCTTCAGCATGGAGGTGCTTTATAGCTATTACTTTAATGGGAGCGCATTAGAGAGCAGTGGTCAGCAATCTTCTTCCTGGACATTGGTTCTATATATCACCAAAAAAGGGTTCTGTGATAGTTACAAGTTTGACATCGTAACAATAGCAGATCCCTTTTTGGTGCTATGTATAAAACCTTCTCAAAAAGGCTCTTCAAGGGTTCTTTAGTAAAGTTCTACTTAGAGTTCTATTTAGAACCATTTGCATGCTTAACTGGTTCCTTGCATGGTGAAATTGTTCTTCAGGCTGATGGAGAACGTGGTGTATATGGCTCTATACAGGACCAACAGTTACAATGTCAAGCTTGTAACAACAGAAGAACCCTTTTTGGTGCTATACAGAACCATTTTCAAAAAAGGTTTCTATGCAAAGAAACCTGCATGCAAATGGTTCTTTGCATGTTCAGGATTCTATACAGAAGCACTGTCTTTACTAAAGAACCCTTAAAGAACCGTCTTTTTTAAGAGTGTACTCCAGCAAGAGTCTCCAGCAAGGTGCAGCTACAAGGGAGGGGTTTCTGATAAAGTGGCCAGTTAGTGTGTATTATCAAGTCATACTTTGTACATGACCAAAAAAGATGTTGAGTGTTTAATGCCTGTCCTCTAGAACTGTTGCTCAAGTGGTCACATGACCTTAAAGGTAGTCAATCAGACAAGACATGTTTGGTGTCCAAATCGGGCGTCTTTAGTTTAGCACTGGAGCTACGAGGCTAACGCTGCTAACACTGGAAGTCAATAGTCACCCAAATGTTTTTCTGTAAATACATCTCTAAAACTTCTCACAACACACATGAACCGCTTCAGGAAGGTCTCACAGACTTGTTGATGTGGTTTAGACTTAATTTATATGTCTAATTTATATGACTGTTTAGATATATGTTATATGTCTAGAAAGGACAAATAAAGAATAGAAAAAAGGACAAAAAAGAAAAAGAAACAAAATGAAGAAAGAACAAAAGAAAACGAAAGAAAGAGAAAAGAGAAGAAAAAAGAAAGAACAAAGAAAGAAAGAAAGAAAAAGAAAAGGAAAGAGGAGAAAAGTGTACAAATGTCATAAGTTCCTCCTCCAAGTTTATATAGTCAATGGATCTTAGAATTCAAATGTTATGAAGAAAGACAGATAGAAAGAAATAGAAAAAAGAGAAAAAAGGACAAAAAGAAAAAGAAACAAAAGAATGAAAAAAGGACAAAAGAAAAAGAAAGAGAAAAGAGAAGAACAAAGAAAGAATGAAAGAAAAAGAAAGATATAAAATATAAAAGATAAAGAAAGAAAGAAAGAAAGAAAGAAAAATAGAAAAACAAAAAAAGGACAAAAAAGAAGAAAAACAAAAGAATGAAGAAAGGACAAAAGAACAAGAGAAAGAAAAAGAAACAGAAAAAGAGAAGAAAGAAAGAAAAAAGGAAGGACAAAAGACAAAGAAAGAAAGAAAGAAAAAAGAAAGGACAAAAGATAAAGAAAGAAATAGAGAAAGAATAAAAAGCACAAAAAAGAAAAAGAAATAGAAAAAAGAGAAAAAAGGACAAAAAAGAGAAGAAAGAAGGAAAAGAGATACAGAAAGAAAGAAAAAATGAAGTTCAGACATAATTCAGGCAGTTTAGACATATTTTATGTACGATTTATATTAATATAAATGATATATTTTAATATTTATATATTATAATTTATCGTGAGCTATAAAAATGAACAGAACCTCACCGTTTAGCTGAATTCCCGAATATCCTGAAGACCTGGATGTGGTTTGAGTGAGTTTACTCACAGAAACTATTTGGGTGACTATATTAGCCTCAAAGCTCCTGCATTAAAGTAGATAAGCGAATTTCAGAAAACAAACACATCTTGGTTAATGAAAAATATGCACATTTGAATTTTCTCTGAACCACTCCTTTAAACCTAAACCTGCACTGACATTGTACTAGCAGTCCTAACACACCCTCCTTCATTTCGGCCTCCAGAACTCCACCATCAGCCATGCATCTGGAGAACCCAAAACACTGTTTGAGGCCACATGGGCTGCACCTCTGACTCCTCTGGGCAACATCGAGTTCCGGTAATCACAACTTATCCATGGGTTACTCAGCCATGAAGGTTCTGATCAATGCCAAACCATTATTCCACTTTGTGGTGTTGTTGCAGTGCAACATTTGTGAGAGACTATGCAGACTTCTGGACCATGGTGAGCAGCGGCATCTTATCGGACGGCTCAGTGGTGAGTAATCAGTCCATAACCTTTTAAATATTAAGCTCTTATTAACTTATTATTAATATCAACTCCTTTTTTTCTCCATTTGACAGAACAAAGTTTCAGCCGACGTCATGTGTTTCTGCGTCCTGACTGCACTTGCAGGTCTCTTCGGCTTGTTCTAATTATTCATAGATGGGTCAACTTTATCGCATTTTAGAGAACCCCGAACTTCAGATGTGGAGTTAATGTTGTGCCAAAAGTTTTAAATAAAATTATAAAATCCAAAAGCAAAATATAAACTATCAAAATGTCCAAAATATGTTGCAAATACAGATAATGAAGGTTAAATCAAACAATTTTTCAAATAGGATTACTACTCATTTTCTCTCATTCTGACTCATTTTGCCAGTTATTACTTAATTTTTTTCATATTCTGATTTTGCTGATACATTTTTTCTGGAATCTCTCTTTTGCTTCTGAAATTTTTCTTTCGCTTCTGACTTTTGGCACTTCTTAACAGAAGGCAGGGCTTAGAAGAGGGCGTTCACCTGCACTTCCTATTGGTCAACTGATTTGGAACGGATAAAAAAAAATGAAAGCATTTAAAAATTTAAGCAAAAACCAGCAAAATGAGGAAAACATTTATATCAGAACAAGAGAAAATGAGTAGGAATCTTTTTGAAAAATTAAGTTGGATTTAACTCTCATTATTTGTATTTGCAACAAAATTCTGGACACTTAGATACTCCATATTTTGCCTGTGGACTTTATTATTTTGTTTGAAACTTGTGGCATAAAATGATCATATTCAAACATCAATAAAAATACCTTCAAGTAAACAACATGATAACACTTTATTACTGTAAATGGAAGTGAACCGGGAAGGACCGACCCAAAGCCATAAATACCAGAAATATCTAAAGGAAATATTTACTTTAAAACTTTTAAATTGTTCTAGATAAACAGAGTATCTCAGTGTCTGAAGCAAGACTGCATGTAGTTGGTATCTGAGGAACGTCTGAATGGAAAAATGGTTAATAAATCTAATTAAACCACACTGACACTTTCTGGATCTCTCTGTTTATTTCTAAGCCTCCAGTGTGTTTTAATTACACAACTCTATGTAACTTTAATCAAGTTTTAACATTCACATGTGAGAGACACTACAGCAGGTGACGGAAGACAACCGGCGTTTTCAAAAGTAAACACAGTGAAAGGCTGAACGCGACCAAAAACCACAAAACACACAGCTACACAAACAGCAGCAAGACTACAGCAATCAATCCAATTACTTAGAGGGCTTTCTGTATTAAAGGGAAACTCCACAGATTTTTCAAAAAAATCTGCTTAATTAAATGGTTAAGATGTAAACAGAGTCATTCAGAGTGGTTTGGTGTGAAACGCTCTGTTCTAGAGAAACTTACCGAGTCAGAACTGTTCACAGTGGTGGTGATAGGAACCAGACGTCCACCTCTAAAAGCTCCCTCACAGAAAGTTACTACATGAAATGGTTATGAATTCTCTGTCTGATGTCTGAGACACTGTTTTACGATAGTTTTGAGAAGGTTTTGAGCTAAAACATAGTTGTTATAATACATTCATGGTGAAGGAATACATGCAGGGTGGTGTAAGGCAAAAAACTTTTTTTTTCCAGTTTTACCACTATTTTATCATCATCATCATCATCATTACATATAAAAACTCATATAGACTCATATAGGTTCACTGGTAGTTTTGGATGGTAAATAAAACGGCTATATTTGTGTCGTAGACATGGTGACCCCTGGTTCCTATCACCACCACTGTAAGAAATCGGAGTCAGTCAGTTTCTCTACAACAAACCATCACCGTGAATGACTTTGCTTACATCTCAGCAATTTTATTAAGCAGAAATTCGGCAAAAACTCTGGAATTTCCATTTAAAGTGAGCCTTAACTAATACCCCGTTTACACCTAGCAGTTTCATGCATCGTGAGTATCAGGATTACATCCAGACTGAGATAATCCACATAACGCAGGTGTAAATGCACCCAATGAGCATTCAAAACACATTTAAATCTGATCTCTCAAACCATATCAGAAGCTTTGAGACGCATTTAGCCAGATGTTATACAAGTGTAAACGCATTCGACAACCAAAACTCCTCCCAACACAGTGACAACTCCCTCTGCTGTTCTGCATAAGGGAGAAAATGCCCACTGGACTGCCACTGCTAAACAGAGGCATCGCTGACCCTTCAGTTCAGCTCCTGAGGTTAATTCAGTAGCCGTCAGCGGCCAAAGCCAGTTTAAATAAAGTGCTAGTTGATTAATCTTTATGTCACCTCATCGTTATTCAGCGTCTTGCTACAATACACTGCGGTTTAATGCGTGCGGCTCATGACAGTGATGACTAGTACAGTAAGATAATAATCCTAATCAGCCGTCTTCTTGTAAACATCAGTGCAAAGAATTTACAACCATCTTTTGAATAGAACAGGAAAAATGAGCCACAGGCTGACTGATGTACGTATGCACAAGTTTGAACACCCCTGGCTAAATTACATTAACACATCATGTACAGAGAACAAACTGAAATATAGAATTTGTCTGAAAATTTTAGAGCGAAATTTCTATTTATTTGATGAATTTAACATGTTGAAAAAACAACATTAAATACAAAATGTGCCATAACTTTTGCCCAGGCCACATTTTATGTTTCACCCCCTTCCCACTATGTGGATTTCATCAAATAAAGAGTAATTTTGCATTAAAATGTAAGTTCTCTGTAGTGGATGTGTACTTTCCACTTAAAAAAAATCAACAAAACATTTGCATACAGCTAGATATGAGCAGGATTGCACACTACATGCCAAAAAGCAAGCGGTTTTTAATCTAACCGGAAACGCACCTGATTTCCAAGCCCAAATGCATGTGGTTAAAATCTAATTGGGATTAAATCCAGATACTGGCCAGTTGAAACGAGCAGGTGTGAACGGGGTCTAGGATTCAGGGGCAGCTACTTTGTGAGCTCGTGTTTGCGATACGTGAAGTGGGTTAGACCGAGGATTAGACATCCTAATTATACTGGCAGAGCACAGGTTTGTGTAACCTTTCGTACCATACAGTGCACATACTATACCACACACACAGCTGTTAGTTTATTAGGTACACCTACCTTGTACCTACACTCACTGGCCACTTCATCAGTTAGCACTTTGTAGATATACATATGAGAATGATCCACCACTCAAACATGTGGTCAGTGGTGGTCCTCTTCCACTAAACAGGGCAGGAGGGGGCTGATGAGCTACAGTCTAGTCTGCAACTGTAAACCTACAAAGTGCACCTATTTAGTAGGCGTTTCTGATAAAATGGCCAAAGACTGTAGCACAAGGCAGGCCTACCTAATAAACTGCCAACTCAGTGCATACTGTTTCTACTGCCTCCAAGAAGCTAAGGTGCAACTGGAGGAAAGCATTCAGGAAGACTCGAGGCAGGCGGTCAGCTTCTGAAAGCTCACAGATCGTTGAGGACCTCGAGGATAGTAGCAATGGACCAAGCCTGCGTCTCACAGCTGAAGGAACAGTACTGAGCGTTTTCATTGGTCAGTTCTGGCAGACCTTTCCAAGGGGACCTTTTAAGGGAGAAAAGAAAATGGTGACAGTAATTCAGTTAGTAATGTTCCAAGCTCATGCTGGACCAGCTTAGCACTAGAAATCAATCCACTATAGCAGATGTAGTTTAAAGCAGTGGTGCCAAATTAGGGATGAGTATTTTCACCATTTATGCCATTCAAATATCTGCATTTTTAAATGAATAGTATTTAAATACCACAAGAAGTAAATATTTTAGATTGTTATGAACATTAAGGCCCAATCCCATCTCTTATTTTTACCCCTGCCTCTTTTTAAGTGTCACTTTGCCCCTTGGAACTGAGTTACAGCGGGTAGTGGTTGAAACCTTCCCTATGAAATGAAACCCTCAAATAAAAACAGCATTACTTCATTAAGAGGCTACTAGCGCTGCTCTGTAGGCGACCCTGCCAGTCTGCAGTGACAGCAGAGAAGGGTAAAGTTCAGCTCCTCACTGCTGGGCTTTAGTTACATTTAGGGCATCATCTGCCTTCAAAGAGGGGGGCAATTATTTATTATCACCCACCCCTAATTCTTCAGTGATATGAAGCTGAAATCAGATATTCACCAGATCCTGTTCAAATTTTCCCTTTGCACTTTAAATGGAGGAGCAGAACTGCTGGACTATTTAAGGTGGAATGGGAAATTTAGCTAGCTGCTGAGACATCAGCAAACTACTAGCAAATTTTTTGTGCTTGTTATGAAGAAAAGCACCATAATACACTGAAACAACATTAAGCTAAAATAAAACAGTGGTTATCATAATTTTTAACAGAGAAAATTCTCACATTTGTGGTTTTTTTGTTGGCTTGCACAGCCATTTAGTCGGTTTTTCTCTTTTTCTCATAACACTTTGTTCGGAGTCTATGAAAAACCTCTGTTTGGAGGGCCACATAGCCCCAACACTTCACCCTCCCCCTCTATCTCAACAAGAATGTGGACACCCTACCCCTAGAAGTGAACGAGTGAAAGGGCAAAGGGCTAAGTGGTAGGGGAGAGGGGTGAAATGGAATTGGGCCTAAGATTATCAATTGTTCATTGCATGCAGCCAGCAAAAAAGTGATCTGAACCTTAATGTTCGGTCAATTTAGTGATTAATCTTGCACAGTTTACACTGTACAAATCTGTCACCTTCCTGTTTGAAAGCATTTCATATTTGGCTTTAGATGCAGCCATTGTGGTTTAACATGAGGCGCGATGTCAGCTGCTTACATTCTGTGTACATACACCTTTCCTCTACTGTAGTCAGTCTACATATGGACTTATGTACTATATAAATATATTTACATATACTTTCACTGCGTACATCTTCAGCTTTACAACCCCCGTCAAACGATATGCTCTGGTGATTTTCAAAGTGAAAGTAAGTTACCACATCCTGTACAGAGAACACAGTTAACATGACATTTCTTCTGCAAATGTCTGTGCACAATTTCTATTTATTTGCAGAGTTTGACATATTGGAAAAAAGAAACCTAGCATATAAAAAGTGGCATAACTTTTGCAGAGGCCATGTTTTATTTTATTTTTCCCCCCAATATGTTAAATTCAGCAAATATACAGTAATTGTGTATTAAAATATGCAGAAGTGTGTTCTCTGTAGAGGATGTGTAACTTACTTACTCTTAGAAAATCAACAAAACGTCATTTGACTGGGGCGCCTACCTTTTGCATATGGTACATACAGTATATATTTTCCGATCAGGCATAACATGATGACCACCTCCTTGTTTCTACGCTCATTGTCCATTTAATCAGCTCCACTTACTATATAGGTGCACTTTGTAGTTCTACAGTTACAGACTGTAGTCCATCTGTTTCTCTGCATACTTTGTTAGCCCCCTTTTACCCTGTTCTTCAGTGGTCAGGACCCCCATGGACCCTCACAGAGCAGGTACTATTTGGGTGGTGGATCATTCTCAGCACTGCAGTAACACTGACGTGGTGGTGGTGTGTTAGTGTGTGTTGCGCTGGTCTGAGTGGATCAGACACAGCAGCGCTGCTGGAGTTTTTAAACAGCTCATTGTCACTGCTGGACTGAGAATAGTCCACCAACCAAAAATATCCAGCCAACAGCGTTCTGTGGGCAGCGTCCTGTGGGCAGCGTCCTGTGACCACTGATGAAGGACTAGAGGATGACCAACACAAACTGTGCAGCAGCAGATGAGCTATCGTCTCTGACTTTACATCTACAAGGTAGGAGTGTCTAATAGAGTGGACAGTGAGTGTCCCACCCAAATAGTACCTGCTCTGTGAGGGTCCATGGGGGTCCTGACCACTGAAGAACAGGGTAAAAGGGGGCTAACAAAGTATGCAGAGAAACAGATGGACTACAGTCTGTAACTGTAGAACTACAAAGTGCACCTATATAGTAAGTGGAGCTGATAAAATGGACAGTGAGCGTAGAAACAAGGAGGTGGTCAGAATGTTATGCCTGATGTGTGTATATACTCAAATACTTTATAATAACTGTACTTTCATTGCACATCCTTTATATTACCCATAGACTGTTTGTCTACTATCTATTTCATGTATATACAGTGTATATCTTTGGATTTAATAGTGTGTTGACACCTGCATCAGGAGGTACTGCAGTTCTGTCCTACATTCAGTCAACAACTCACAATATAATGCATCATTTATTTCTTTTTTTCCCGATTAAGTAAATGATATTAAGAAGAGTATCCGTGTGTTTAAATAACCACGCCCATCCACCATTACCTTTCCAAGTGCACGTAATGACGAGAGAGGACGTTCTTCACTAAATACACCGTCTTGTCGTAAGTTTCCTTCCCAACTTTCTTGGCAAAGTATAACTTGGCACGTAGGAAGTAGCCAACTGGCCAGAGCCACTCCTGGTGAAGACAAACAAACAATCAAATAGGAGATAAGTATCCCACTATCAGGAATCAGGATATAACGGAAAATCAGGAAAAGTCAGCTATGAGGAAGTAAGTTGATTGTTTTCTTACAGGGCCTTGGTGGTAGTTGAAGCCTTTGGCTAGGTTGTAGTCGTCGTTGTCAAGCGAGTTGTCATAAACGCCGCAGTAAACCATGTCACTGTTTGGGAGGAGTCGAGACAAACAGTGACTCAGCGTAAACAGCTCACAGCACAGTGACACAGCTTTTTCAGTGAACATGGGAATGTTAAACATGACTCACTCTGGATCCAGCGTCTTCATTCCGAGAGGCCCGAGCAGCTTTTTCTCAGCGATATTCAGAGCCTCCCAGGCCCTTTCAACAGTGAACAGCTCTGGAGCCTACAGCAAAAAAAAAAAAACAGAGACAACCTGAAATCCATCGGACCTTTTACTTTGGTAATGGGTATTCCTGACCATATTAAAGCTACACTATGTAAGATTTTTCTGTTAAAATTGAAAGATTTTGAAGTTCAAAGTATCATTTCTGAGTCAGGAAAATAAAACAGGCTAAAACATGTCGAGAGTGCGCTGTTGCAAGTCGCCCTGTAGCGCCTGAAACAGTCATTTAAAGTCAGAGGAGTGGGACTGCGGGGGTTTTTCAGACCACCTCATGCAGCTTGATGTTCAGGTCTCAAATGCAAAATCAACATTATACTGATGAGGATGTGATGAAAATAGAAGATCATTAACTCAGAAGATGCATCATTCAAGTTTTGGCTGAGTTCTTGCTGAATTCTCTCATTCGCTTTCAATCATCAGCTTTACCCGCTCAGAGGAGGGGTCTGAAGCACAGCCCACGCTATAAAATGTTCTTCTGCATGTTGTGCAATTACACGTTTATATCAGAAAGGTCACCAAATCCCCAAATAAGCACAATTCATCATATCACTGCATTTAAAAAGCTAATCTTTGATTTAAACATAATGACTTTTGCTCTGCCGCTAAATTTTTGATTACGTCTGTAAAAAGCTTATGTGAATAAGCTCCGTTCTGAAGGGCTGTCCTGTATTGCGCCTCGATCAAAAGCAGTCTGGCCTGAAACACTTCTTATAACTTCATCGGGAATGGGCGGGGCTAAACTGCTGTAGGCTGAATTGGTGGTTGTATGTAAAAGATTGGCCATTTTTGCCTCTTAGCTTCCATATATGGACGGTGTGGAGTGGGGAATGAGCAGTACATTTGAACAGTATTTACATACTACATCAAATTATGTCACGCTACATCAAAATTCAATCTTCCACGATATTCCTTTAGGTCAGGGGTCGGCAACATGCGGCTCTTTTACTGCCCTGTTGTGGCTCCACAGCAGAATCAGATTTGTAGGTAAAAATAAAATAATCGTCCTTTACAGTAAAATAAAGCTCTGCTGATCGTTCAACACAGTTTAACAATAAATAAACTCCGGAGTTAATGTAGAACTGCTAATTCACCCTTTAACCCTGAAGATCAGCGCAGACTGCTGGTCACCATAGCAACACAGACAACTATCTCGCCTAGCTAGTAGCTAACGAAAAGGCAAAGAGAAAGATTTAAGAAGAACATCGATAATTTGGTGATGAATGGACTTATTTACATTTATAGTCACTCCAGCTGGTTTCCTGATACGTTTAATCTGCAACGAGAAACTGTCAAACGCTAAAAAGTCACAAAGCTGAAGTCAGTTTCTCATTCAGCATTAACATTCTGGCGCCTTATTTAAGGTGGAACGGGAAAATTCTAACAAGAAGTTACGAGAAAAGCGGCTATAGTTGAGCTAAAGCTCAAAGCAAAGTCTGCATTTTCGTTTATATAACATTTTTTAGCCTTTACTAGTACATTAACACATACAGAGACATATTTACAGCCAAGATGGTAAAATTGACATAAAATATTGTGGCTCTCAATGTGGTTTGATTTCTGTTGAAAGGACAAAATGGCTCTTCTTAACATTTGGGTTGCGACCCCTGATCCAGATAATCTTGAATAGATTACTTTAATACAATGGACACAAATACAGACAACATTTAGGCATCAAGATGGTCACTATTCATGGTCATTTTTAGACATGCGACAAACTTTTGTCCACGTTGTCTATTACAGATTACTGAACAACTCCACACGGTACCAGACAAGGGTGATTTAGCAAAGCAGTTAAACGACTGGATGTTAGGTTAGCTACACTGTCCTTGTAGCTCCAGTGCAAAGGAAAGAAGTAACTTCAGACACCAAACATCAACTTTCGGATAAGTGGATTCCTTTAATTAAGAAATGTCTAATTAATTCTTGCATTCTTTGCTGCTGTACATGAAACAAAAGCAACAAAAGAAGGAAGGAATGGAAAGTTGTGTGACTTAATAGCCGATAGTTAATATTTGGCTTAGTTACTAATATTTAATATTCCAGTCAAGCAAATAAAGGCTGATATCAGAAACCACCACCCAAACAATGAGAGTAATATGAGAGTGAAGTGAGACACAAAGCTCTAGTCTACTCTGTGTTGTTGCGAGAGCTGTGCTTACCACCACCATGGCGATGGTGAAGTTGGGGCGGAGCTGATAATCGCACCAGGGGCTGGAGGCTCCAAAGCTGTCTTTATAGATGCCCCTCTTATGGACCAGCTCGGGGTGTTTCTCATTGGGGTCGCTGGGGTCCTGAGACACGTAGAACATTTTCTCAAAGTTGTTCTGGATGTGTCTGTTCCAGTCTTCGTAGGACAGAGTGAGCTTTGAATCTAGAAATTAAGGAAGAAGAAAATGACTACAGGCTCACATTCAGCACGACGCTGCGCTAAAAACTGCACATCACTTGTTTCAGCCGACAAGTACGTGTTTAACACAAAACCTGCTCTGTTGATGAGCTCTATTAACCCTTTAATGCATACCTCAGCAGTGACCTCCCCACCTCCTCCGCCTTGCCAATTTTCCAGATGACAAAGTGACAAAAATACTTCAAAATATAAGATATATTTTAATGTGTTACTTTGTTATTGTCAGTGAAAAAGTGGCAGCGACACGAATCAGACACTGCCTTATGTTTTATGATAATTTTGAGAAGGTTTTGGCATAAAAAAATAAAATCCATTCTTGCCGGAGGGGAACGCGCAGGACGTCTTCACACAAAAAAGTCATCAAAGAAAACTTATTTGTTTTCAGGCTTCGTCCACATTACATATAAAAACTCAGAAGACACGTGGGTTCACTATCGGTTGTGGATACTGAATAAAGTGGATATTAAAATTATATTAATTTATATTTACTGTTATGTATATTAACCAATATCCGCATTGCACTTATCATGACTCCTGCTTTCTGACACCACCACTGTAAAGAAATCTGAGTCTGACTTTCTCTACAATTTCACATGAAACCCCTCTGAATGAGTTTATTTACATCTTAAGGGCTAACAAGCATACAATTCAAAATTCTGTGGAATTCTCCTTTTAATGTCACACATAAGTAAAACCTTGTAAGCCTATAAAAGAATGCACTGCAAGCTAGCTTGCATACTTTCTGTCCATAAATACAGACTAATCAACCTTCCCGGGATGTGTTTAAGGTTGCTTATAAAATCTGACGTTCTTTTGCCAGTTTCCCTGGAAATGTAATAAGTGCGTTTATTTACAGATTTATTATTGTATTTAGAGACATATTTGCTGTGTTTAGTCTCCAACTGACAGTGTAAATTGTTGAATAAATTGTTGTTGAGAAGCCCAGCGCTACTCACTGCTGTGTTTCCATCATTTCGGTTTATACTTGGTGTTCTCAGTTTTCTCAGTCTGAGAAACAGTGGCTGCTTCACAGGTGGCCCAGCCTCAGAATCGTTCCTTTTCAGAGACCCTTTTGACTTTTCATCCATGATGGATGAGTTATTACAATTCAAAAGTCAAAACACTTCACATTGACTTGCACTGAAAATCTAAACGTAACTAGCTAGCTTTTTGCCAGAAGAATCAAGGAGTGTGATATAACATTTTATTTGTGCAAATAATCAACAGAATTTTTAATAATTAAAATTACATTTAGTTAAATGTCTACATTTCAACAAATTTATTTTTCCTCTCTGTGAATTGGCTATTTTTTCCCCACTACTCCGACGAGTCGGACGTTATTTTAGCACCTCTTATTCAGGTGTCTACTTCCTATATTACACCAAAATATTCATGATTACAGGTAATGTTATTTCTGCTTGCATGAACATTTTATCCAATTTCTTGACTGGTGGGTAATTTTACCATGTGGCCGTTCGGCAGAAAAAAGCAAGACTTTCACCAGAAAAACAAAACGTTAAATGAATAAAACGATGAATAAATGTGACTAACTGAAAAAAAAATGTGAAATAACTGAATGTTAATAAGAAAAATGTTAACTGTGTAGTCTGTGTTGTCTAACTAGTACTGTGTGTATAATGGTTTAATTAATAAATTCATTCATTCATTTATCATCATCTAAGCCGCTTATCCTCCTGGGTCGCTCACTGGGCGGAAGGCAGGAAACACCCTGGAGAGGTCGCCAGTCCATCACAGGGTTAATTAATGAATGATTATCAAAATTTCTAATTAGAAATATGTCATCCTGAGATTTCTTATGGCATATACCAACATAATAAAACTGTTCATTTCTTCAGTTCTTCATCTACTGCCATTCTAGTCATCTGCAGCCTTTCTAGTGCTAAAAGCTGTATTGATTTACCATGTTAAGCCTGACTGTCCTATTTGTTGCTGTTCAAACTGATTTTTCTCTCAGAAGTCCTTTATCATAAGTCTGTGTCTAGTGATAGACAGTAATATCTGCAGGGTTAGACAGTGATGTGCAGCAGTATAACCTGCAGGTGATGCAGAGGGAGTGATAGTTGTCCTTACCGTCTCTGTGGATGTTTACGCTGGTGTAGGGGAAAAGACCCTGCTTATGGAGCTCCACCAGCCAGCGCACTGCAGACTTACACAGGGCCACAATCTCCACCGCAGAGCCGTCCCTGTTACAGCGACATCACAACCTCAGAAAAGAGCCTTACTGTCTCCTCATTCCTCCACACATACTGATATATCAGTAATACAGAGCATTTAACGGTCTGCACACCCTGATACGTCTCCAAAAGTGGGCAATAAGAGGGTCATTCTGCCATTGCAGTGGCAAACGGTGTCCTATAAATTTGAAGCCATGAAAATAAGCCCAAAATAAGAATAAAACACAGAGAGCTGAGCTCCACAGTACTTTTACTTCTGCTTATGCATATTTCTGAGGAAGATATACTCTTCATTAACACTTCGTTACTAAGATCTTTTTATGTTTAATGTCATTCGGTTATATTGGTTCTGCACCTGTCCTGCTCTGAGATTGGTCACACCTCTGACTTTTGGGATTTATCATTTTATTTTAGACCAAAATGATCCTAAACATTGTTCTGTTCCTATGTTGATAGATGTTGTATGTACTAAGACATTCCATTGCAGTTACTCAGTACTTAAGCAGTTTTTACCTTCAACCTGAGCCTTGATGAGAACTTGATTATATCACTTAATAATCCTTTTAATTCACTACAGGTTTAAGCTACTCTGCACACCACTCTAAATATCAGAACTAAAATAAAACCTAGTGGAAACTCAAGTAAACAAACAAAGCAGTGCAGCCTGTTTGGGAGCAGTTGCGATGCGTACCTGGGTGTAGCGGGAATTCCTTTGTTGCGTGCCCTTTCACTTTCTCCCATTTTATCCATCCAGGTCCCGCAGTTGAAGCGATTGCCTCCATAAACAAAGCCGGTGTCTGGGTTCACTTTGGCCACAATGTTGAAGCCTAACAGGAGAACCGAGGAGAAAAGGAGATGCTTAAAAACACATTATTTCTGTTTTAAAATCTGATTGCCTGAGCTACGCCGGTTTAAAACACTTGATGTACATAAGTGTAAAAACTAGAATAGACAAGAATAGAATAACATTTTATTGTCCATTTCTGGAAACCAGTCTTTGGCTTCACCAGGTTGCACAAAATAAGAATAATACATAGATTAATAGCAGAAAACGTTTACATACAAATACAAAACCTGACACCTGAAAACACACCTAAGAACACATACCAGCTTTAAATACACCAGCTATCAAAATAACTACAGTACAGTTAAAATTAGCTGATATGCTCATCAAAGCAACAAGTGACCTAAGAGTTCATTAGCGAAATTCAATTCCGGTATATATGAATTCTTAAAAATACTTTTTGTGGCCCGAGGTACCTACAAAGCTTTCCAGCAGGGAGAAATTTGAATTTGACAGAGGATGAGTAGGATCCCCCACAATTTGCTGGGCTTTCTTCCTACTACTAGACAAATATATCTCGCATAACTGTTTTGTGGTGTCAAAGTTTGTGGTGATTAACACTGCTTTCTTTTTTTACACCGTCACTGTATTTTCCTAGTTCAACCTTTTGAACCACTGGTAGCTGACCACTTTGTTGCTACGACTCTTCAAATAAAGCTTTTAAAAGTTCCTATATGGCTCTGCTGATAAAACCAAAATTATTAACCAAAATTATTTCCAGATTCTTCAATGCCGTGAGTTTGTTTATCACTGAAGTACGTCGAGTCTGAAGAATCATTCCCAAGCGGAACACGCTGATGAACTGGTAATATCAGCAACGACGAAAGCTTAATAAGGTTCCCCATGTAAGCTTCATGTTCAGTTCATGCCTACACACAATTAAAATAAGGTCACTAAAATGACTGGAATGAATAAATACAGTCCCATGAAGCTTATTTTGTCTATTTATATAGCTATAACAACACACATTGCTTAAAATATGGACAAAATCTTTCTGTAGGGTCACATTTCAAGCAAATAAGACAAATGTAATTGTGATTCACTACACAAAAGAATGTGATTAATCATGATTACTGTCAGCCCTAGCGAAAACCTCAGCAACACCACTGTGACTGATACACTCATACCAGCACCACACACACTACCATGCCAGTGCCACTGCTGTGCTGAGAATGAACCACCACCATCTGGACAACAGCACTCCAGTGATCAGAAACTGACCAATAATAAACAGAGGGGGGTGATACACTGTGTAGCACATGATGCACTTAATTTTAACAACATTATGCGAGTTATTTAAAGACATTGTGCTGTTTTTGGAATAATCCCTGATTGCTATGCTGCGTGGCGACCACAGCCTACTGTTGAACTACTGTTGTTTTTTAAAACGCATGTATTTTATCATATTGTATGTCATTCTTTTATAAAAGCAATAAGCTGTAAGGCTTTACTCCATGTAACACTGCCCATATTTTGTGCTATATTGCATTGACAAAGAACCAAAGATTCTTATTTCTGGGGCTGACAGTGAATGAGAGGAAAAGTTATAAGTTATAAAACCCCAGCTGTAAGTGATCACAAGCGACAACAGACTAGTGTTTTTTGGTGAAATATTCCTTAATAAGAGTCACCTTCATCTCTCATGTTGCGGTCGATTTGCGGGCCAGCGTTTCTCTCCCTGAACTCAATCCCCTGCATGTGACGCTGCAGAGCTTCATGAATCACATCACACAGAGGCTGATCCTGCAGAGTCAGAGAAACACGTTATACATGCACACATTTACTCACCATGCAGAATTATTAGGAGCCTCTTCCTTCTGCTGCCAATCTCCACTTACACCATCCACCACTTACGATCCGCCGCACAATTCATCGGCCCCACTCTCTTCATTTATCATTATCACTTTCTGACCACATGACTGCTGTTGCTAGACTGGGAGAGAACCACCACCTGAAAATATCCAGCCATGGCTCTGTGGTCAGAAACTGACCATGGATGAAAAGCTGGAGGATGACTAACACAAACTGTGCTTCAGCAGATGAGCTACAGTCTCCAACTGTACACCAGCAAAGTGTAGCTGCAAGAGAGGGGTTTCTGATAAAGTGGCCAGGGAGTGTATCTACATATCTACAGATAAGGTGTGTACTTGGGGGAAAAATAGATATGCACACAATGCAAAACACTGTTTTATTAACTTACTATTTGATGTTCAGTTAACTTAAAATTATAAAAATCAGCCACATTAAACTGCAAAAGTGTCTCATATGTTGCTGGTACTGAGTACTGATTGTGTTGGGCTATAAAAAAATATATTTTAACCCAATTTTTTTTTCCAAATTTTTGTTCAGGTGACAAAAAAAGCTACTAGATCAAATTAAGCTGGATTTTTATACTGTATGTATGTCTCACCACTGTGCCTGGAGCCTGTGGCTGTGAGTCGTCTGTGGGGTACATCCTGGAGACGGGACACTGTAGGATGTTGGTTCCGTTGGGCACCATGTTGCAGTAGTCCTGAATACACTGCAGCCACCACCACACAGCATCACGACAGTTATAGCGGGCAGATACTCCCTCACCCAACAGGTTAGGGATCAGCCCGTGCCTTAGAGTACCAGCAAACGACAGGATAATGTTCCTGAGAGAGGGAGAGGGAGAGAGAGAGAGAGAGAGAGAGAGAGAGAGAGAGAGAGAGAGAGAGAGAGAGACAGACAGACAGACAGACAGACAGACAGAGAGAGAGTTTTTATTCAGATCCAATGCATCTACTTGATGATAAGGCTGATGTTAGTATGTTAGTCATTGGTCCTGCCAGTTAACTCTTCTGAAAACAAAGCATATTAGTTATTTATCAGTCATAGTTTGTTGACATCAGCAAAAAATGTCTGTAGAAAGGTAAATTTTCACCTTCAATCCACACCACAAACAGGAAAAAGTCAAAAATGCTGATGCCTTTTGATTCTTGAGGAAACTAACTGTAATAATGTAATTACATTTAAAGGACTCATATCAAGGAAAACTGAAGTATCTATTTTTCTGAAATAAGAGTTTGACGTAAACATGTACATTTCAAAATATACAGTTCATTCCCTGGTCAGTACAGTCCACACACTGAAACTAAGCTACAGCAACCCTGATCTGTGTTCTGAATTCATTGTTGTTTTGATGTCACAAAAACCTACACATTTACATATACACACCTATCCAGGCTATAGCAGTTTAGCCCCGCCCATTTACACTGAAGTTATAAGAAGTGTTTCATATAACTGTGTCTAATGTCTGTTCAATTTATTGTATTTATTGTATTGTTTTCTAGCTTAATTTTTGTTTGCACACTGTCTGCACGTTCGCACTTTGTAATTTCGTACTTTTGTACTTTTTGTTCCTTGTTGCACCGTGTTGTTCCTGCAGGAACGTAATTTCGCTCCACTGTGTACTTGTACATAGATAGAATGACAATAAAAGCCTCTTGACTTGACTTCAGCTCAGACTACTTTTTCAATTAGGCACAAAACAGTGCGGCCAATCAGAACAGAGCTTATTTATGAATATAACAAACAGCCTGTTTCATTATAAGAGATGCGGTGGGAAAACGGTCATGCAGAAATTTATTTTGACTACTTTTGGTTCATAAAACCACACAAACATTTTAAGTGGACTTTAAATGCAAGAAAATTGTAGGATATGTACCCTTTATACAGTATAGCCAAACCTATAAATAACTCTAGGCTTCTAAGAGTTAAAACATTCATAAAACAAAATATATTTTTTTATTACTATGTGACCAGCGTTGGGGTATTTACTCAAAACCGTAATGTGCTACAACTATCTAGCCACCTTTTCCAAACGGTACTGAGATTACTTTACTCTTTACTTCCTGGAAAGAATAATCTCACTGACTTTACTTCTGTGTTACTCTCTAAAAACCACAGCGATCTGTATCAGCTTAAAAGCACAAGAGAAAATTCAATAGTTCTTCCTGTGCTTTTCTTAGACATAAACAGCCAATCACAGTAAACACAGTTTTAAAGGCCACCAAATCTTACTGCCTTTACTCTGAACATGCAGTCAGTTACACTGACTATAATGCTAATGCTACACTGAGGCTGATTTAAAAAGCAAGAAACTAGTCAGCAGAAAAAGTCTAAATACAGCTGCCTGGAAATAACATCAGCATAAATAAAATGTGAAGCTCACAGAGCTGTTTCTTAACGAAAATCAAGGTAAAACAGGAAAACGTTATCCCACTACTGTAACGTTACTTTGTACTACTTTAAACACTGTATGTGACGACAAGAATTAAACAGTGATGTTTTAGGTTACCTGGCCTCCATGTGACGGCCAGTGACCAGCAGGAGGCCCCGCAGGGCGATGAACGTGTCTCTGCCCCAGCAGCGGAAAATTCCAGCGGAGAAATGAGGTAAACCTGTCGAACGCAGAAGAGCCAGAAATATTTATATAACTCGTCAACTGATTTCATGAATACGGACGTTCATAGCTATTAGGGATGCAGCTGTACAGTGGGCCCACGGTTCGGGATGTATCACGGTTTTTGCCATGGTAACGGTACAGTTTTTTTTGTTCATAATTAAGAAACAAAAACATCCCCCTTTAAACAACGAACTCTTTATTTTCCTTATAGACAAATAAAACTTTCTAATAAGAAAAATGGCTGCATGACTGACCGGCCTGGATTCTGTCTCTACTGTATGAAATCAAAACGAGAAAAACATTAAAAGCGCTTCATAGCTTTGACCACCAGTAGGTGCTTCAAGTTCTGTATTATAAATAATGAAACAGAGCCAGATAGAGTGTCTGTGTCAATTTGTTTTCAGTGTCTCTCTGTGATGTTTCATAGAATTCGGGAACTACTTTGCTGCTGAAATGTGTGCAGGAGGGGACACTGGCTAAGATTACATGCAAAGATTTCTGCCAATCCGACTGAATGCAGTCCAATTATAGTTTAAGACTGAGGTTAATTGCATGCGTAGAGAACCACTTAGTGTAGACGTTATCATGGCAACCAGCATCACGAGAGTCCAGTCAGAGTGAGATGAGCAGCAGTGAGCAGTGCTTGTGTTTTTAATTACTTTAAAATGATGTCAGACTCAGGAAAACGTCCTTCACACGTCCTTATTAAAGAAGGCCGAGAGGAAGACGTCGTGTTCTGAGACACATAAGCTGGACGTCCGTCCCACCGCCGTCTTTTAAAGATCACAGCATGAACTTCGTCTCCTCTGCAGACCAGTTTCTGCTCCGCCATGTTGAACGGTATAAACTTTCACTATGACGCAACAAACATGATCAGAACGGACTTAAACTTTCTGATAGGGAATGTAATCAGATACAGGCGTTTACACGGAAAATATTCTTCTATTTAATGGATTATTTACAGGATTACCCACCTCGATCAGTCAGATAGAAACTGTATTGTGAATGGCCTCAATCAGACTAGTCTAGTCAGATTGAGGTGTTTACATGGACGTATTCTATTCCGATTGAGCTGTTAGTCAGATTATTAATGGATTATTAGGCTGCATGTAGACGTGGCTACTGTAAAGACAACCGCACAAGGCAGCAAGGCCAAATTTTTTGGACGCAGTGCGATGCGGGTCGTCCGGTGTGCGGTGGCCTTGACTTCTTGTCACGTTGGAGCTGAGAGATTATTATTATTATTTGTTTTTAGTTCCCTCTCTCTCTTCTCCAGCTCATATTTACATACAAAGCGATGACTGGAAGTTCTGTGGAACTGAATGTACACTGTGCATGTAGTCTGCAGTGCAATAAGCAAGTTTCAGAAATTATAGGAAAAAAACAGGCATAACGTAATAGAGAGAGAGAGAGGGGACTGAAATGTGGGCAGGAGGGGACACTGAGGGAGATCACATGCAAAGATTTTTGCCAATCCGATTGAGTACATTCCTATTATATATTACAGTGGTTCACCTGTGTGTATTAAACCGTAGGGGGCGTACTGAACTGTTCGATAATGTACCATGTACCGCTGCATCCTTAGTGGCTATACACCGACCAGGCATAACATTATGACCACCTCCTTGTTTCTGTGCTCATTGTCCATTTTATCAGCTCCACTTACTATATAGGTGCACTTTGTAGTTCTACAGTTACAGACTGTAGTCCATCTGTTTCTCTGCATACTTTGTTAGCCCCCTTTTACCCTGTTCTTCAGTGGTCAGGACCCCCATGGACCCTCACAGAGCAGGTACTATTTGGGTGGTGGGTCATTCTCAGCACTGCAGTAACACTGACGTGGTGGTGGTATGTTAGTGTGTGTGTCTGAGTGGATCAGACACAGCAGTGCTGCTGGAGTTTTTAAACACCTCAGTGTCACTGCTGGACTGAGAATAGTCCACCAACCAAAAACATCCAGCCAACAGCGTCCTGTGGGCAGCGTCCTGTGACCACTGATGAAGGACTAGAGGATGACCAACACAAACTGTGCAGCAGCAGATGAGCCATCGTCTCTGTCGACTTTACATCTACAAGGTGGACTGACCAGGTAGGAGTGTCTAATAGAGTGGACAGTGAGTGGACACAGTGTTTAAAAACTCCAGCAGCACTGCTGTGTCTGATCCACTCAGACCAGCACAACACACACTAACACACCACCACCATGTCAGTGTTACTGCAGTGCTGAGAATGACCCACCACCCAAATAGTACCTGCTCTGTGAGGGTCCATGGGGTCATCATGTTATGCCTGATCGGTGTACATCTGTGATGTAATTATAACAGGATGAAGATGGTGTTGCTAGGTCACCTGCTGCCATGGACACACAGCACTGCTCCTGCTGGTTGGTGATGGTGTTGAATCTGTAAGGAACGTCGGTGAGCGCAGGAGAGAGAGGAGGCAGAGCGGGGAAACGACCCACTCCACACATCTGCACTGAGCCCAGAGCCAAAGACCGCACGAAAGAGGAGCCTTCCTGCACAAAACTGACACATAACCACGCAAATCAGGCATATTACTGATGTTTCAATGCCTTGTTTTCAAAACCTGAAACATTTTAATGCTAATTAGAATAAAAAATATATATATAATAATAATAGTGAAGGTAAATGCAAGGTAAGCATCTATAAAGCAACTACAGTGGGCTTTCCAAATAAAGTGTTACCAGCCTAAAGGGTCACTGTTATTGTAGGAGTGGATGTACAGCAAAATGACAATAATAACTACAGACTTTAATTAAATATTTACCCCTTAACTACGGTATGACTTCATCAATAATAGATCAGAGTTAAAGTTAAACTGACCAGTGGATGGACAGTGACAAGTGGATGGATGAGTGACTAACCTAGACATTAGTTTGAAGGTGGCGTCGAGGGCAGTGGTGTAGGCCCCAACCAGAATGGCATCAAAGTAGCAGGGGATGAGGTAGCGAGGGATGTGTTTGAGGTAGCCAAACATGGCCTGGAACCACTGACCAACCTGTAAGACATGACAAGACTCAAAAGTCAGGGTCAAACCTTTCAAAATCTGCCAGAAAGCTTTGAAGTCATAGATAAGCGGTTTTAGTTCTGGCCTTTATCAGCAGGTTTCTTACAAAGACCTTATTTTCTATTTTTTCCTTTTATTATTGTTACCTTAAGTTTCACTTACAATATCTGTGTGGTTTTAAGTACCAAAATCCAACCTCTCTTAATGTAAAAAATACTCTGCTTGTATTATGTGACGCTGTGACATCACAACCATGATAAATTCAATAGGGCTCTTGTGCAGCTTTGTTTCCATATATGGAATGATTAGACTTGGGAATGAATAACAATTTAACAGTTTAACAATCTCAACAAAGTATATCAAACTCTTATTTTGAAAAAAAAAAAAAATTTGGAAAATTAGTTTTTATGGGTCCTTTAAGATATCTAAAAACCTGTTTACATTTGACTTATTAGCACAATTTACTGTGTGTCCTGCTGTGCTCACCTCTCCGAGTGTTCCTCCGCGGGACGCCAGCCGGTTACTCACATAATCGATCATCCAGTCACCCTGCCTCAGGTTATCGCAGAACGGGTGGCCCAGGTCATTTTTAGGCCGAATGTCAGCCATCACTGACAGCAGACCTGCGTTATAATAACACATTTAAGAGTTTTTCGAACATCTGCCTCCCTATTACATGTTTAAAACTGAAGTCATGAAGCCATGAACTCCTAGTTTCCCTGGACTAAACAGAATTTTTAGATCTGAAACTCTTTTGACGCTGTAGACTAGGTTTAACAAAACTTGAAAACCTGAATTTATACTAAAAAAAAAAATTATACACTTTTGTTTGATTTTGTTAGACTGACCCTTAGAGCTGTCAGCTGGGCCCAGCATTAAAAGTGCATTAGAAAATTAATTATTTCTTTTATTACTATTAAAAGTAACCTGTAAAATATGTGGGACATGATTAAAAAGGAATGGGGGATTAAAAACATGTGAAGAGGGTGAAGAGTATAAGAGTTGAACTGTCTGAATGGATGATGAATATAGAGTATATATGGAGATTTGGAGAGAGACTAGAGAGCATGATTAGACAAAAAGCCCCTCTGGGTAAGTGAACTGTAATGGTAATGTATGTACTACAACAAATCAATACTTTTAGATACAGACTTTATTGAGCATTTTGATCTCTGAAGCAATGCTAGCATAATGCTATACTTTCATCATCTATATTTAACCAATTAACTGACCTGTCTCCAAAGTAGTTGGTGAGCATGCTATGAAAGAAGCTCCATGCTGCCTTTATTACGCCTTTATTACACATTCAAATTGGAAAACGTATTTTTGATTTGTTCTTCTGATTAGGGCTGGGCAATATGACAATGATTATCGTTACTGTGACAAACTGCTTCACAATATGTCACAATATGCATTTCTGAGCATATTGTGGATATCGTCAGTACTTAAAAACACTTCCCAACTGCATGTCTGAATACAAAGATAGCATAGTTAGTCTAATTAATCTGATTTAAATAATCAGTTTAGTGAAATGTTGAATAAAAATAAATGCATTATAGTAATTACGGCACACTTAAAATTGTGTGCTACTTTGACTGTTCCAACTCATTAGATGTCAGAAAAAAATAAATATTGTATCATAACTTTTTAAAGTATAGTTGTGATGTTACATTTTTGGTTTTAAGTACCAAAAACAGTTCTCCAACCTCTCTTAATGTAAAAATTAAATGGTCTGCTTTTGTTATTGAGCCTTTAAGACTGATGCTGTGAAATCACAACCATGATAAATTTAATGGGCAGCTTTTTCCATATAAGGAATGTTTAGACTTGGGAGTGAATAACAACATAACAATTTTTACATAGTAAGTCAAACTCTTATTTTGAAAAAAAAGCAAGGAAAATGAGTTTTTCAATGACACGAGTCATTTAAGATACCTAAAAACCTTTTTAAATTTGACTTATTAGTGAAATGCAGTGTGTGTCCTGCAGTATATTGTATATATTGTGTATCGTGTATCAAAGTTTCAAACTTTTTATTTGTCACATACAAAGTCATACATGGTACAACAAGCAGTGAAATGCTTGGATAACTGCCTGCTCACATGAAGCAATCAGGTAATAAGAAACAGCAGTCAAACAGAACAACAACATTGTAGAAAATACATAACAAATCATATTCATATCGGGTATCTTTGTTACGTCCATAGGACGTATGTTTTGTTTTGCTTGCTTCCTTTTCTTTCTTTCTCTCTCTCTCTCTCATACTCTTGCTTATTAGGAACCCGCCCACTTGTGCGTCTGATTGGCTGGAGTCCCGTAACGAAATTTCATCTGATTGGCTGGCTGAAATTGCATGGAGTATATCTTCGACGGCTGCGCCGGATGTCATCGAGGCTTTCCTCCATGGCGGCTTGGGGTGATTGTTTTTAGATCCGAACCGCAGCTCAGCTTGTTTGTTTTATTGCTAGCGATTGTCTGTTCTCCTCCCAAATGGAATAGCTTAGCTTTACCTCTTGTTCTCTACCCAGTTATCTCTGCAGTTAAACCGTAAGCTCAGGATCTGTCTCTGGAAATGTTCACTCTTATGCCGACCAGGTTGTAGGAGTGGGTGCCATTTCTTTTGACCTTGTTTTCTCCTGTTTTTGGTACAGTTAGGGAGTTAAGAAAGACTGACTGTACTTTTGTTTCTTTATGTTTGCATAGGTAAGTTAGTTCTCTAGCATCTCTAGCTAGGCTGGTTATGTTTACTGTTATGGCACATGCCCACTCTGACGTTCTCCTGTGTCGTGTACACAAAAGAGCAGCATAAAAAGAAAATAACACGACTTGACCTGTTTAAACGTCACCTGGCTCTCTTTTGTCCTCTTTTTATGTTATGATCATCACAAACCCCTAGACAGGTCGTAACAATCTTGAAAACTTTTTAAAATATTGTGATGTTACATTTTCGCCATATCACCCACCTGTACTTCTCAGCAATGATAAAACTCAACTTACGTGTAAACTACATTCCTATTAATGTGTTCTGATCCCTGAAGCAACGTTAGTATAATTCCATACTTTTATCATCTATATCTAAATAACAATGAAAGTAAATATGCAGTCTACCTCATTGCCAGACAGTGAAGTCATGACAGCGTTTGGTAAAGCTAGCAAACTCCAAATGAAGTCTGATGGACTCTGATGGTCAATTCTCTGGGTGTGCTTTTTGTTGATGGGTGGGAATGGGAAGCAGCTCGTTCCTGTGTTGCAGTTCACCTAATTAACTAGGTTGAGTATTTCTTACATCTTCTAAAACTGATCTCCCGTGTGTCGCTTTAATCAGACTCAGCTCAGTTTGGCACAAAAGTATTAACCCCTTTTGTGAGTTAAAATGAGTGTGAGAAAGCCAGAAAACACTAAAGCTTACAGAACTGTGGCCTTCTGCAAAAAACACAACACTGAAGTTATCAGAATCAGAACAGCGAAAGGTAGAAAAATCAGCATTAAGTTACTTTAAGCTAGGCTTGGTCTGTACCTTGCAAGCCGCCATACTTCAGGGTTGTCCAGCCAGGGATGCCGTAACAGCCTCCTCCATCTTCCTTCTCCTCTGAATCGCAGCGGAACAACAGCACGTTCATATCAGCCAGCGTCAGCTTCTCCATGATCCTGCAGAGGGAAACGCAGCACTCACACTTGTTGAACCCCATCAAACATAACAACTTACCAGCTATACAGTCGTGTTTGTCTCCTTAAACTGATTGAAATCTGCTCTCAGGGTAGTTGGAGAGCATGCATGTCCACACCGGTCAGTAAAATGGATCAGCATGTGGAACTGGAGCTTTCTGTGAGCTGCTGTGTTTCCCATCACTGTGTAAAAGAAGCTCCATGCTGCCTTTATTGTTGGATGCACTGTTGTAATCTTTATGCTACACTCTTAAAAATGAAGGTTCTTTAAGGGTTCATTAGTAAAGAAAATGGTTCTATATAGAACCAAGAACACTCAAAGAACCCTTTGTCTGATTAAAGGGTTCTTTGCATCAGCTCTATATACAATCTTTTTGAAAAGGGTTCTATATAGCACCAAAAATGGTTCTTCTATTGTTATGATGTCAGGCTTGTAAGAATAGAAGACCACTTTCTGGAGCTATATATAGAACCCTTTTAAAAAAGGTTCTATAGAACCATCTACAGCACATTCTCAATCAATCTGAAAAACCCTTTCACAAGGCAAAGAAGCATTTCATTGTGTAAATGGTTCTTCAAATGTTCATGGTTCTAATGGTTCTACATAGAACCATTTTCTTTACTAAAGAAACCTTGAAGAACCATCTTTTTTAAAAATGCAGCATACAGAAACACTTGAATTTGTAAACGTGTATTATTGATTTGTTCATCTGAGTAATGATTAGAATTGGGCAACATGAGTGAATTACATTGTTATTGTGGTTTATTAATATTTAACTTATTTCTAGACGTGTCTTGTTTCATTGGCAGATCATGTTTCTTGTTTTAAGCATTATTTTGTGAAATTATGCTTAAAATTTTCTTCATTATTTCTCAAAACAAGTAAACTAATCTGCCAATGGAATAAGACACTTTCACCAGATAAAATCACTTAAAACAAGTAAAAATGTACAGAAACAGGTGGAATAATCTTAGAATATTCTTACAACAGACTCATAATGAGAAATAGTAGATTATAATATAATTTTTTTTTGCTTGTTAAGATATTATTTTTTGAAGTGTGATGGAGAAAAGAAGATTAAATGGCAGAAATAGCTGCTCCTTTATCTGCCGTAAAGGGTTAATATCTGTTTAATGGCATAATTGACCTAAATAAAAACCAAAAACACAACAAAAGAACTGTTTGGGTATTCCCTGTGACCCGGAAGGATAAGATGGCTTAGAAAATGTGTGTGTGTGTGTGTGTGTGTGTGTGTGTGTGTGTGTGTGTGTGTGTGTGTGTGTTTGGGTACTATTCAGAATTATTCCCATAAATACAATGAAAACAAATGTGACTGGAGGAAATATTTACACTGTAGTGGAACACAAACAACAGTGTTGACTCACTGTGTCAGTGGGGTTTTCAGGATTTCTGGGGCGTTCTTGTCCGGCACGCTGCCCGCTGCGTAGTGAGGGTTGAACTGAATGAGATGGTTTCTCAAAACTCCCACAAGCTCCTGAGCCTTGGGGTCCAAACTCACCCTGCAGACGAGAGAAGTGGAATACAGAGAAGCACGAAGAGACCAGAGAGGTTTTTTTAATAGTTTGCATGTATTTGTGTGCAACTGGAAAGGTTTCCTTCCAAGATGTATTAAACATACTTTAAACATACTTTTTTCATTTTATTTTCTATTTTTCTTTTTTTCTGTACATATACAACAAACATTGTTATATTATAATAATAGCACCTTTAATAAAGTAATAAAAATGCCTTTTTGACAAAGTGTGTTATACATAAGCTGTTAATCCTTACAAACATTCTTTTATACAGTATATACAGTACCTTGCAAAGGTTTTAGGGCTCAACCAAGATTAGATTTATTGAGCTGTTTATCTGGGCAGTACATGCTTATTTGCTCAGAAAAACACAATTTTTACAAGAAATATTATAACATTAATAAAGTTAGTAGTAATTTCATGTATTAAAATGTTGTTATTTAACCATTTCCAAACCTCTCCTCGAGGAAGATCAGCATTATTTGTAGTTTTCATCCAATACCTGGTTTGTTATCAATATTCTTTATGTTAAATCAGGTGCTGCAGATGAAATTTAACAAATCCATGTGATTCCAAGAGAAACACAGAACCAAACTTTGTTCTCTAAACTTTTTTAAAATGAATAAAAAAATGTTTTGCCTTTTGCTGTATTTATGTTTATTTGCTATCTATTCTAATAATATATGGTGTTTTTACCTCAAAAAAACAGAGATAACTGGTTTTAAAAAATGCTTAGGTGCCTAAACCTTTTGCACAGTACAGCTGTCCAGCTTTTTGGGATGAAACTCTTCATTTTTGTCTATAAGAATTGTTTATAGCTCATCGAACCTGAAAGCGATCACACTGCCAGGCGTGAGGCGCTCAAACACGATCT